AACTATTGTTTATCCAGCGGCACTAGCCCAGACCTCGGCCGTGCCTGGCAGTAGATTTCCCGGCACCTGCAGTGAGGACCGGACCCGGGCCTGAGTTACTGCCGGACCCTGACGGAGAGCAGGAGCTCATTGCAGAGGCCGTGTACCTTTGGCCTAGTCCCTGCCAGAGGGGCGGAACCCTGAGACCGATCCAGGCCGTGTAGTGAGGCGGCCTGGCCCCCGACGGCCCCTGAGAGGGCCCGACCCCCGCACCGGACGTTTACACCTACCCATGTTTAAATCCTTTATGAAACATCAATTAGGATACTGAAAAGGCACAAGAAATTAGACTAAATCTAATTACTTCTACAGAGGATTCTTCTCTCTTGGTTATACCAACATGGTCAGCAGCTTTCCGCAAAAAAGGTCTGGCAAGTAGTGAAGTGGTGCCATCTGCTGTTAATCTCTGGCAACTCCTCAAGTTTTATCCCAGCATTAGAGGACATGTCAATTCAGGAAAGGCCAGAATGATTAACATGTCATCATGCTTTTAAGGCTTTTTTCCCCTTCCCTATTTGAAAAGAAACTGCAAAGTTTGGATTTGAAACTTTCTGACATGCCCCCATCATTAGTGGAACATCTGTAGACTGAAAATTATATGCAAAGTAGCCCAAAAATTATTTCCTTTACCCACCTGCCAAGCTCACAATTTAGCCATTTGACCTGAAAAAGCTAATAAAATAAATGCTCCCTAACACAACAGTTCCTCTATTGGAGAGGCCGGAGTCTGAGCCTGGCATGTTGTACCACAGAGGTACAAGAGGCCATGTGTCCTAGAAGTTTCAGGCAATTCCTTGCTATGGTGGTTGGAAAATGCCTGAGACTTAAATGATGTCACCCAGGGCCAAAACCTCGCTTGCGGAAGGTATGCCCTGGCGTGTGTCGAGTCCAGCACTGCCGCTACAAACTTTATCCACTGAACAGGGGAGAGAGTTGATTTCCCCACGTTCAGGATAAGGCCCAGTTCATCGAACGTCTTTCTTATGAAGTTGACTTGTAGCTCCACTTGAGCCCTGGAGTGGCCCTTGATCAGCCAGTCATCGAGGTACGGGAACACCTGTATCTGCCGCCTGCGCAGGAACACAGCCACAACCGCCATGCATTTGGTAAACACACGAGACACCGCTGACAGGCCAAAGGGGAGGACTGTGAACTGGTTGTGTTTGCCTCTCACCACAAACCTGAGGTACCTCCTGTGGGACAGTGTAATTGCTATATGAAAGTACGCATCCTTCAAGTCAAGGGCAGCATACCAGTCCCCTGGATCCAAGGAAGGGATGATGGAGGCCAAAGAGGCCATGCGGAACTTCAGTTTCCTCATGAACTTGTTGAGCTCTTGCAGGTGTAGAATGGGCCTTAGCCCACCTTTGGCTTTTGGTATTAGGAAATACTGGGAACAGAAACCTTTGCCCTTCAGCTCCTGAGGAACCTCTTCCACTGCTCCTAGCGATAGGAGTGCACCTCCTGTACGAGGAGCTGCTCGTGAGAAGGGTCCCTGAAGAGGGACAGGGAAGGGTGATGGAAGGGCAGAGAATTGGAGGGAGTATCTCCTCTCTACTATGCAGAGCACCCAGCAGTCCGATGTGGTATGGGCCCACACAGGGTAGAAAGGGGATAGTCGGGACAAGAAGGTAAGGCGGGTTGGATCCAGTCCAAGTTCTGGTGCGTCTTCCTTGTTCACACCTTCAAAAGGCCTGCTTCTGACCCCCTGCAGATCATACAGCAATCCTTTTGATGGCTCTCCCCCAAACACGAAGTACGAGGATCACTTCTGGGCATACACTTGCCGCAGACCTTTGAAGCCAGCAGACCGCGGGATGCCCTAGCGCTGGGATAGTGCTGGAGGGGAAACCCCTCCAAAGGAAACTTAAGAACTAAGTAAAGTACCTACTAACTACTTAACACTAACTACATACAGACTGCCACATGCACTTATCACTACAAGAGCAAGGGGAAGTTCCAGCTAATGCTCACTGGCAGTAAGAAGGAACTGAGGGGATGGCGAGTCAGTAGGGCCCCATATTGAGCATCATGATGGTGCCACTCCAGGGGGCGCCCGGACCGACCCGACAGATACTGCTAGGGGAAAAATCTTCTGGCTGTCGTGCACGCGCGCACACCTGACTGGAATTGACATGAACAAGCACTCGAAGAAACTAATCATTATTTCCATTACTCCAGCTTTCATTGCCTTTCCCAACCCAACTGGCACAGTTTATTTGCAATTATTATGGCTTTGTATTAGCATTAATACAGTTTCATTCATGGGTTAAGAGTCTCAGGCATGTGACTTGCAAGTTAAGTAGCCAAAAAAATTCAGAAACTCAATGCCAGCCCAGTGGTTTAGGATCATCTGAATTCAAATTTGGAGCTCCCTAGATCATGAGGGGCTGGGAGAGCTATGGAAGTAGCACATTTAGTCCCAGGAGAAGCACTTTGTGTTATTTTCAAAACACACCTCTGATTAATGCTCTTAAGTAGCACTGAACTCCAGAGGAAGCCATTTCCAATCCTCTTGAGGGAGGAATGATTGTTTTAATACCTTGGGGGTGGGTTTAGGGAGGGAGAGAAACGGAGGGATGGCAAAATTCTCCTCCCAATACACACACATTCAGAGCTAGTCAAAATTAGGTATGCTGCACATATCTGGAAGGACACCTACTGGTAATAGTCAGCTCCATTACCACCATTTAAGAAAGGGAATTAAAGAACCATATCATTTCAAAAATCTAACAGGGAAGAAACTAATACATGAGTAGGGATCTAAAAATATGGTATATGCAGAAGATCACCACAGGAAAGCAAATTTCCTCTCTAGATGCCCCACACTTGGAGAAACAAAGACAAAAGAATGCTTCTACAAATAAAATTACTCCCACATTCCAAGCATTAGTAATTTTATGACCAACATCATCCGTAGTTATCCCAGCTAAAATATGGGTAATCAAACCATGCGTCAGAGCACCATCCTATCATGCAGAGGGATCAGGAAAGAATTCCACACACTGTGTACAACATTGAACTGGCTATAAATTATGGGGAGGGATCTTCCTTGGAAGCAAGTTATCACTCTTGATGGATCTCATTTGATATGACACCACTTATGTTTCTAACTGAGGAATGTAAATATCAGGAAGAGATATAGATGAAAAAAGCAAATAAAGAAGATTTATAACCTTTACCCTACACTTTACTTCTAATGACCTTTAAAAATAAAAATCACATGCTGTTACATAGCTTTGCAACAACAAAAACAACTGCAGTTATGTAGACATCCTGAACTGAAATAAAAGCAGGAGAGAAAGCTGTCCTCTCTTTTCAGGTATAAATTACATCCCCTTCAAAGAAAGCTTGGATCTGCCGACAGTTCTCAATAAACATGTACATAATTATTTTGTCCCATGGTGGTAATATTTCTCATTTGACCCCATCCATGCATTTAGGGCATTCTGTCAAAAAAAATAATAATGAAAATCTTGTTAGCAATGTTCTTGCTAGCCGTTAGTATCAGTGAAGGTTCAGTGCAAATCTCAAAAGAGTGAAGTGCCCTGCAGAAGACGACAGTGGGTTATTTATTATTTAGGTGAGGTCCAAACTATTTTAAGTACTTTCCAAATACAGGCCACGTTTTCCAAAACTAGGTGCATGAGGTTAGGGCTAGTTTACATTTAGGTTTTACTGGGCTAACTATTTTAGTTAAGGGTATGATTTTTTTCACCCATTTATTTATTTATTTTTACCAACTTCAGTTTTGCCAGTATAACTGCAACGTAGACCAGCCTTAAATCATAGAATCATAGGACTGGAATGGATCTTGAGAGGTCATCTAGTCCAGTCCCCTGCACTCATAGCAGGACTAAGTATTATCTAGACCGTTCCTGATAGGCGTTTGTTTAACCTGCTCTTAAAAAATCTTCAGTGATGGAGATTCCACAACCTCCCTAGGCAATTTATTCCAGTGCTTAACAACCCTGACTGTTAGGAAGTTTTTCCTAATGTCCAACCTAAACCGCCCTTACTTGTCCTATTCTCAGAGGTAAGGAAAAACAATTTTTCCTCCCTCCTCTTTCTAACAACCTTTTACATACTTGAAAAAGTATGTTCCCCCTCAGTCTTCTCTTTTCCAGACTAAACAAACCCCATTTTTCAATCTTCCCTCGTAGGTCATGTTTTCTAGACCTTTAATAATTTTTGTTGCTCTTCTCTGGACTCTCTCCAATTAGTCCAAATCCGTCCTGAAATATGGCGCTCAGAACTGGACACACTGCTCCAGTTGAGGCCTAATCAGCGCAGAGTACAGCAGAAGAATTACTTCTCATGTCTTGCTTAAACACTCCGGCTATTACATCCCAGAATGATGTTTGCTTTTTTTTTTTGCAACAGGGGGTACACTGTTGACTCACTATGACCCCCAGATCCCTTTCCACGATACTCCTTCCTAGGTAGTCATTTCCCATTTTGTATGTGTGCAACTGATTGTTCCTTCCTAAATGGAGTCCTTTGCATTTGTCCTTATTGCATTTCACCCTATTTACTTCAGATCATTTCTCCAGCTTGTCCAGATCATTCTGAATCAGTATAGTTGGGAACAGCCATGGGAATAGCCATGCAGTGTAAAATATTTCTCTGCTACTATAACTGCACCAAACTGGGGGAAGGAAGGCAGGATTTGAGCAACTTTAATTATACCAGTATAGTAAAATCAGCACAACTTCCTAGTTTAGATAAACCCTTAGACTTCGAAGTCCATACTTAGGTGCCTAGCTAAGCTGCATGATTTTCAAAAGTGCTGAGCACTTAACAGCTCTCACTTGAGCAAAAAAATTCCTGATATGGACAATTAGACTGTAAAATAGTCTTCCATGAAAACTGGTGCAAACTCTTTTGTTCCACTCTTAAAACTGAATTGGAAAAAACCTGAAGGATCAAGTAGAGAGAACAGTCCAGCATTGGTCCCAAGGGAATAATCTAGCTCAACTCATAGGTCTTCACCATTTCATTTTCTAGGTTTAGTTTCTTGGATCTGATAGATCTGCATCTTCCTACTCCTAGTACAAACATGGGGAATGTAATCTGAATGTACTTCAGGATTAACATACTGGCCGCCTGGGATGCTGAAGACAGCACTTATCACAGGATATATACCAAGGACTATCACAATAAAATGCCCAGTGCTCCTCACACCTTGCCAGAGGGAGGTGCTGAATTGGCAGCTATTCCATTAAAACACACAGGAATAAAAGTTACAGTACCTCTAGATTATCATTTGGATATTAGGATGGTGACTGGGATACCAGCAAGTATTTGGCCAACAGCAATACAAGGATGAAGGCTCCTACCTTGTATGCTTTGGGAGCATTACAAATAAGACAGAACTGCAAAGAGAGGAATAACTTACCTCCATAATAGAGTCCTGTAGCAGTGCACATGCGCCACTGTCCCTGATACATTCCCGCTGTGCTGGGGCTGCACATCTGAACGCTGACATCTGAAATCTCCTGGGGCTCTAGCGACCTGACCATCACCATGTTTACATGGCCAAACTGGTCTCCCCCGACGTACTTAAGACAAACCCCTGGGGGCCATGCCTCTGTCCCTGATTGAGTAGAAAAAGGTATTAAAGGGTCAGTGACAATGCAACTGTAGCGACTTCACATCGGCTTCTTTTCTGGCAAGTGCCTGCTCGAGTAGATAAACATTTTATTAAATTAGTTACACTGCTCTGTTAAACAGTCAAGGAGATGTCAAGTTGGCTAACAGATACCAACCTAGTCAAATTTTCTAGTTCTCATACAACAGCAAGGGGAGAGAAAGATTTTCATACAAAACATAACTGTTCCAGCACATGACCAACTGAAAGGAAAGACCTGTAGAATATGCACAAGTCCTTTAAAAATTGAGAAACCCAGAGCAGTGGTTTAACAAAGTCCAACAGTAATCAACATATCTGAGTGAGACCTGTGATGACACATTCAGCTGCACTTTAGCCATACTGGGGACACATATAGCACTCAATGAAGATGACCAGCTAGTTTTCCATCTTAACTTTACTGTTTTTGTCCCCCCCGCCCCCCCTCATTGCATAACTGAAAATATTTTAATAGGAAACACACAAGACATTTTCGGGAAGAGCAAATGCTTTTGTGCTCCCTGTTTGTAAAACTGTGAACTAGAAATAACATCTTCTATATTTTTTTATTTCTCCTTCCTGCAGTGAGCCCCTCCCAGCTCCATGATGGGGTGGCTGAACTCTGACAGCGTATACTGAGATCCTAGTTTAGATTGACGTTCTAGGGACTGATGTTGTATAGCATGAAGGAATGGCACAAAGTGGTATTTGGTGCACATGCAACAGCTCATTTGAGGAGAGATGCAGCAGTTTCATGCAACAGCAAAAGAGGAGGGGATGGTGAGAGAAAAACTGAGAAGAATGGCTTTGAAAGAGTTGTAGAACATGGCTCCGGTGGGTGTGTGAAGATCAGTGTCAACAGGGCATTTGGATACTCTCTTGCTCTGAGAATGTGATACGAGCTGGACTGAGAAATTTGGTCTTTGGGCTGTAGGGATTACATTCTGCCTGCTCTAAGTTAATGGGAGCTGTTTAGGGAAGTCCATGGGCTGCAGAGAAACTTGGACAGACATATATGATTATTGCAAGCCTGTGCTGAGATGGCAACTCTGGACAGGTATTAGTGACCAAGCGACATCTTGTAGGAGCATTCCTTGACAGAGACTCTTCCATAAAGTCGGCTATTCTCTGGAGGTACTGCAGCAAGGGCATGGCAGTGAATCATGATTTGTGGGGTTTGAACCTAGAGAGAAAACCATCAACTGAGGAAGTATCAGTGCGGGATAGTTGGAATGGGATCAGGGCAGCTATCTTTGGATCCAGCTACAGTTAGAAACAGCACGAAGGTTGGGGATCCTTGGAAAAGGAAGATCTGAGTGGTTAGCAGGCCTTATGCTGTGATGTGTGGGAGTTATGGAGCGTGACGACTTGTGTGTGAAAGGGTGTGCGGCCTAGCAACATGGTTTTGGTTTAAATAATGTGTGATTTTTATCAGTTTTAATGGCTTGAAGTTTGCCATGTGCTTATAGTGCTATAGCTGATAAGCACCATTAAAACAAAATGATGATTGTGTCCTATTTCAGTACATGCATTTCTCGGGAGATGACAGATTGCAGTAACTGTCCAAAGGAGCTTGCAGCAGTTAGAGGTAGACTGGGAGATGAAAGTAAGTCTGTTGAATCGGGGTGATTCTTTAGTGCTATTATACAAGATTGGCTAGCCTGCAAAAAGACCATCACACTGCAGGAGGACTGGACCTTAGTTTTTGATAACAGGCAAAAAGCCCCTGCCTGAAACCAGTTTATTCATAAACAGAACTACATGCTTACAGAACTCTAATTGACCTGTTCAACCAACTGAGTACATAACAGCTCTGCTCTCTGCATCAGACAGAATGCAGCTCTGCCACACCAAACCCCTCAAAGCGATGCCTCGCTCTGTTTTTTTCATGTTTTAGAACTGAAGTCATTTAATCAAGGGTTGCTGCAGGATCATTAAGAATCTTGGCTTCACTTCAGCATCTACCTAGCAAGATCTAACCTTGAACATTCCAGTCCTTGGATACTAAATATTAATTAAAATATTTTTAAATGTAAGCCACTGGCCTAATCTGCACAGTAACACCACCACCACAAAAACCTGGATTGAAGCTAAATCAAGTTGTAACAGTGTAGTCTGGCCTTTGTGGATAAGGCGAAGTATTGTTATAGCCAAAATTTACAAAAGAAAGTAATGCTTTAGCCCTGGTGGAAGCCAAAACAAAGTTTGGTTTTGACAGGAAGCCACAAAAACCAAGGAATTCTAAGTTGAAACTGTTAACTTCAACTCCCTACCCACATCCTACAAGACCCAAGGACTTTAGGAAGGGAAACAAATTTTAAAGACAACATAAAATTCACTGTATCTAGAAAAAAAATTTAAGAAACTGAAAATCCACGTTTTCATGAAGGCACATCTGTCACTTGTGGGAGGGATTTTAAGACGTAACCATAAAAACAAAGGGGAAAAAAACCAAGAGAATGAGGGCAGGGAAGCAAAGGGTTTTTAGTTACTGGAAACAAGTCTGTCAGTCAACAGTAGATCTCACTTATGGGGATTTCATTTGGAGCTAGTATTTTCCAGCCTCATCCTGAAAGTTTCTGAAGCTTAGACAGGACCAGGACTTTTAGGAAACTCCTCCTCAACTGCTGAGAAGATTATAGTGCCTTTGCCGTGGGGGTTGCTAAGGTGAAAAACTTGTTTCCCCTGGATCTATCCCTCATCACTTGTCAAGAATGTCTCATATTTGACAGTAACTGTCCATATATTATATACATCAAACGTACAGATTTGCCAAATAGTTTTGCACATTAGAAATAAAGTGCTCCACAGTCACCTTTCCATTTTACCCAAATAGCCACCAAATATACACAGGGAAGTCCAATACGACACCTAAACCCTCTCTCTGCAATAGATGTTTTTTCATAGGATCGCCAGCTTACAAAGTGTTGAGTCTATCTTTACCTCACACTTCTTGCCCATATGTCCTGTATCCAAGTCTAAGTTTTTAGGATGCTGGGCTTTAATAACGTTTGTTTTATAATGTTTAGCATATTACTATACAGTGCTCCAAGTTCCGTGGCAAGAAGAGTCATTTATGATTTTTAACACAGCTGTAATTTGCTCACACGCGATTAAGAACATTAGTCCTTGTTATGCTGTCATTCTGCACAGAAGCAGCAAAAGCATGACAATTAAATTCAGATACACAGGTTAACTACTCATACGACAGACGGTCATTGCAGCACTCGAGGACAAAGTATTATCTCCCTTTGAAACCACGGATCTCATTTTCCTCCCGTAATTACATCTCAGTAGATAAGCGCTGAGAGTTTATTTTGCCTGGCCCCACTTCAGACTCACACGGAGATGACTGTTTTGGCTCACCTCACACTGGAATGTTGTCTCCACAAACTTGCATCACATCCTCTCCTCTAGGAACTGCCACAAGATTACTCTGTTCCTAATTTCACACAATTCACACAGTTTTAATAGAATTGCAACTGTCACAGCCCAGAGTAATTTAGTCTGAGCTTACACCATCTCTTCTCAGAGTCGCATCACCTCCACTGATTTCTTGACACTCTCATAGGTTCTATAAAGTGTCCCACATTTAATTGAAGGGACAGTGTACAGACCACACACAAACGAATGAAATGCAGTTCTAACATACTGGCTGCTCGTGAGTTTCAAGGAGTTTAAATAAAACAATTCTGATTTTAAATGGGCTGAGTTAATTTGCTGAAAAATATCCCTTTTTAAAGGTAAACTGTTTCCATCCTCTTGCTGGAAGAGATTCTGATTAGAAGAGCCTTTTTTAAGAGAGGGAAAGATTGAAAATAAGAAATCCCATACTGAATGAATACCTAAGAAAATAACTGCCCTTGGATTTCATCTTTACTTGGCAAACTCTGTAGTTAGAGACGGGAACTCAAAAGACCATGGAACACCGTAGCTGGTGACGTGCATCTGTCTGAATCAGAATATTGGATAACACTGTCCCCATGCAAGGGCTAATCATGCTCCAATTGGAATCTGTGGCAAAGCTATTGATTTCGGTCGTGTACAATCTGGCTCCAGAGCACCACTCATTCCATTCACTATAGCAAGGCTAAATCTGTTCCTAGAGAGTTGTTCCAATACAACTATCATCCCAATTAAATACGCCTTCCTAAGTGAAGTATACAGCATAGGGATAGAAGAAGAAGTAGAAGAATAAAGAATTCCATCAACAGAAACAACTGAACAATTTTAGGACCACTTCTAGGTCGCATGGCTTTACTTTCAGACTGAGAATTTGCATCACAAATTCCTTGTCCTCAGAGTTTGAAATGTTCAGGATATCCAACAGTCAAAACAGAAGGTCTGAACAGGAAAACGAACATCCCCATAAATACAATGGTGCTACCAGGCTACTGTTCTTACACAGAGCTCAAAGTAAATACACCCAATAAACTATGTACTAACGAAAGGAACAACAGAAAATATCAATCCAGTTTAGAGGGATGGAAACTGCTGAAGTGAGCCTGGGACTGAAAAAAAAAGATTGTAAGGTCCTTCTTAACCCATATAGACCCCATCTGGCTCTATCCCGTCATGTTACCTCCAACACAAAAGAACCCTCCTGGGAAAGGCAGTGAGGAAGGGAGAAGAGGAAGGGGCTTGGAAGCAGATATCACATCACATTTGCTTTCTTTTCTTTCTAACCTATATATAGGCCTTGGCATTACAACATCTCCAGACTAAGCTTCCTAGGGGAGTTACGGTAGATAAGACAGAAATTACAGCTCCCCACCTGTCAACATAACATGCTTCCATTTTGGGCAAATGTCCAAAAAGATGAACATTTTCAAAGGCACCAAAAAGGTAGGCACCTAACTACCATTGACTTTCAATGGTATTTGGGGACTTAGCTGCCTCTTGTGTCTTTGAAAGCCTCCCCCTTCATTAACACCTTGATATGAAATAACTTTATTACTGCGGAACAAAAGATCATTTTAAACAAGTGGATCTTTGTTTCAATCAAGTTTCCAGCTCAGTTCAATGAAAAAGGAAAGATGTACCCCCATTTACCTGTGTTTTGTATCCTCCATGTTTTTGTAAACTGGGTATCAGGAGGGATTGACTCCCCTTCTCCTATGGTAACATCTTCAACAAAGGACATGGAGGGCACATTGATGTTCGGACTCTCAAAGTCATAGTAGGCTCCAATGGCTGCTTGTAGGTTCCTGGAAAGCAAAACAGAATGCAGCCTTAAGTACAGACCAGTTGAATCAGGTCACTCTCAAGGGCTTATATACTCCATCTCTTAAAGTTAAACAAAAAAATTAAGGAGCATTAGTTCCGTTAGGTTAATTTTGGAGTACAAGGTCTTCTGATCCTCTGGCTGTGTGGGATGGATGAAGCACAAAAATCACATGCGTGATTACTCAATTGCTGGATCGCTATGATACAGGCCCTGCTGCTTTCAAGATGCATGGTTATACACAGAATGGCAGGAATTCCAATCAAGGAGCCTATTTATTTACTGCTGTCAGCATACTCAGTCCTGAACACAGTCCCAGCTCCACGGTGCTTATAATCTATTTCAGACAGAGTGTACTTAAGATGCAATAGATCAGATGACGGTAGAAGCCTGCAGCAGTACACACATCTTGGAGCACCATTCAATGTTATGGCCTCTAGAGCCATAGTGAATACTTTAGAAATTAAGTAATTTGATCAGCAATTTCAAAAGAAAGGACAAAAGGATGGGATGAGGACTCAGAACTCCTAGCTTCAATTCCAGGCTACACTATTGTGAGCTTCAGGCAAGTCACTTAACCTCTCAGTTTACCCATCTAAAACAGATAATACCTCACGGGCACACAGAGTTTTCAGTGCTGCAAGATCCTTGGGTAAAAGGTACTGTTGCAATGGAGGTTGGGTGAAGCTTTATTGAAGATGCTGCGTGTAACAGCTGCCCCTCATTCAAGCAGTTAAGCTCCTCTTTAGATTAAAATAAACGAGTCCATAGGAGCAACCACTCAAAAACACAGGCCACATACAAGGCCTGTCAGAAGCTGACCTATGCAAGTAGAGAGGTTTCACTGGGAGCAGAATGCAAATGCAAGGGGGCTGGATATTGTTTGGTGTAGAATGTGTGGGTCTGTAAGCAGAACTACCCAGAGAACAGGTAAAGAGAAGCTTGTCAGAAAGCCAAAGAAACAGAAAGAGAAGCGCTTGCAGCATGACCCTGACAGAAAGCAAAGAGGGCTTTTTGGGTAGAGTGACTGAAGAGAGGCTAGGAGCAGCAAGCAAAGAAACTGCCTCCTGTTTGATTTCTGATGTGTTCAGGGAAGCAGGAGTTTGTGTACATTCATCACCAAAAAAAAGTATATTAGAATTGAAAAAGGTGCAAAAAAGGGCAACAGAAATGATTAGGAGTATGGAACAGCTTCCATATGAAGAGAGATTGAGGCTATGACTACATAAGAGAGCTTACAGTGGCACAGCTGCACCTGCTCTAAGCTGACAGAGAGCTCTCCCGTCGACTTAATTAATCCACTCCCAACGAGCACCAACATAGCACTGTCCACATCGGTGCTTAGGTCACTCAGGGGGGTGGCTTATTCACATCCCTGAGCGACACAGTTATACCAAAGTAAGTGGTAGTGTAGACAGAGCCTAAAAAGGCCGGAACTGTTCACCTTAGAAAAGAGGTGACTAAGAGATTGATAGAGGTCTGTAAAATCATGAATGGTGTAGAGAAAGTGAACGATAAACTGTTATTTACCCCTTTGCACAACACAAGAACTAGGGGTCACCCAATGAAGTTAATAGACAGCAGGTTTAAAACAAATCAATGGAAATACTTCTTCACACAACCAATCTGTGGAACTCGCAGTCATGGAACATTTGAAGGTCTAAAGTATAGCTGGGTTCAAAGAAGAATTACCGAAGTTCATGGAAGATAACGCCATTAATGGCTATTAGCCAAAATGGTCAGGGGGACAACCCCATGCTCTGGGTGTTCCTAAACCTCCAACTGCCAGAAGCACCTGATACTGGCCACTGATGGAAGATAGGATACTGGGCTAGATGGACGATTGGTCTGACCCAGTATGGCTGTTCTGATGCTCTTTTTAAATAAACAGGGTTGCAAAGAGTTACCAATCATCAATCTCCCCTCATAATGGAAACAGCCCACTAGACACACGCCCCTCAATACTAGCTAACTGCTTAAGGTAAAAGTAGTAATTTTCTTATACGAAAATTAGGTATGTCTATAGAAGCTATCAGGACTGGGGGAAGAGGGGATAGAGAGCTTAGATATAAATACATGTTAGCCACAATCATTGCTGCATTAATGTGCATCCTGTTTAAGTCATGGAGAATGTACCCAATGCATCAGGTGACACTGGAGGAATGTTCTGCAGGACATAATAGGTAGTTTTAGGCAGTCAAACAGGTTAAGGTTTTTTTTTATTATTACTGTTAGGTTTTACCTAGCACAGAGCAGACTGATCATAATAGCCACCATGCAAGATTTTCATTGACACACAATCAATGCATTTTATACTATAAGCCATTATTCCACTCTCTGCATTTTCTACTTAGGAAAGATAGGACTATATTTAAAACAGCCACTCAGTCAAATGCTACAGGAAGGGTGCATGTCACATTAGCCAATAAATGAAGACAAATGCTTGGTTTTACATCATCAGATGCCTGTTGCTTATACACTGAACAAGATCTACATAACTCACGCTGGAGCTGTGCCAAAAGGTTACTGTGCACTCAACCAGTTAACACCATGATCTAGACTTCAGTCTTCACTGAAATTTCTTCCCCACATTACCCTGACCCAAGGTTAAAGATATTACCGTAGCCAGACATGGTACTACTGCATTACTTCCTCCTCTCCATCCATAAACACACAGAGATAAATCTCCAGACATCCTAAAATGTCTGATCCCAAGTGTGCAGCACACAAGCAATAAAACCATTGCACTAAGGTGAAAAAAACAAGGAAACAAAAGACAGATTTTGAGGGAAAATTCTGCAGCAATTCTGAAAGCAGCCTGTAGTATTTTGTTTTCTGTTTGCTTGGCTGTAAGCATACTTCAGAGGGTAGTGGGCTATTTGTGCATCAAGGCCCTCTGCCAAGTCTCTTCCCATCCCTGTGTCATATTTCATCAGCTTGCTTTGCCACTGGGAAACAATTCAGAGTCTGCTGCAGCATTTAATAAAAAACCTACTGAACAAGATGCAAGCTGAAAAGCAGACTTGCTGTCCCAGTGTGTCCAGGTATCACAACCCCTCCCTCCCTGCCTGTAGGGTGACCAGATGTCCCGATTTTATAGGGACAGTCCTGATTTGGGGGTCTTTTTCTTATATAGGCTCAGATTTTTCACACTTGCTGTCTGGTCACCCTACCTGCCTGCCAGCCCCCACCCCACACAAAGAGTTGGGTTTTGCTTTGTTTTTTTAAATGCTTGGGCCCTCCCAATGGAGGATTCAAGGAAATTTCTAGAGACTAAACAGAAAATGAAAGTAACAACATAGAAAAGTAGCAGGAGAATGACAAAGCAAATCTCCAAAGTTGAAGCAGGAGAATGCTTTGACACTGAACTGCTCTAAGAGATTCTACTGTGAGGCAGTATGGCATAAGTCATGCACTGCCTGGTTATACAACCAGCAGACAGATTAGACAGCAACATTTCCTTGTTGTCTTTGTCTTTTGGCAGACATCAGATGGAGTATGGGCTTAAACATGATACTACTTCTTTTGGGAAATCACACCTTGCACCAGCAGATGGACACACTAGTAAACCATCTGAACCTTGAGCTATAAAACCACATGCAACCCTGATTCAGTTCCCCACCAATAACTCCATACCGCCAATTCAGTACCAGAGACATTTACAAGTGCAAATTTTGAAAATTAGAAAAATACTTAAAAGCAGAGATCTGCAGATATCCGCGGACCATGTCTGCAGATCGGATGTGGGTACAAAATTTGTATCCACATAGGGCTCTACTTAAAAGTTGATTTTCATCTCTCTTCTCAAAAATCCCTTTATTGGTTTCAAGTCCAAACAAGCACATTTGAGGCTCTGCATGTTGCCAGCTCTTGTCTAAGTTTCTGTCCTCCCTCCCTATTACTATTTACGTGTATCACACCAGTGTGTGAAGCACTTTAGAGACAGGTATGAAAACAAGGCCCCCTCTCTGAAGGATTTATGATCTTACAAACTCCTGATTTATACACGAGATCCTGTTATCTCCTCCCACTTCCACAAACCCCTTGACTTCATTCCTTCAGCTACTCTGCCCTACATCTGGAGCAGCAGCCCTCTTCCAGTATGACAACCCACCTCACTCTTCACTAAATCTCTCCTCAAAACTCACTATTCACCCAGGCCTTCTTCTCCCTAGATGACAAAGTTATAATAATAAATCTGGAACTGTTAAGACAAGTGCCAAACTTAACCAACATTATCCACATGAGTAATCTGTCACGGTTCCAGGGTTAGCTGCTCTTTTGTCTGCTTTCTGGTCTCACTGAGTCCGTCCCTGGGCCTTGTGCCTTTACGTATTTCAGGTGGAATCACACGATTCACCCACTCTTAGATGGGGCCCAAGCCTACGGTACTCCATGTGTTGACTGTGCTTACTTTGCCAAATCCAACCTGCAATTCTTTCCTTCGGGAGCCTGTAACCTGTGGTGAGAAGAGTGACCAGACAGCCTTCTTAAATTCCAAGTATTGTTGAACAACAGAAACAAAGAATTTTGAGAAAAATAATTTTAAAATAGAAAACACTACACAAATCTATCTTGCACAAAAGTTTACCACCCCCTGATGGTAACTTAGGCTGGACTAACTTCTTCAGAAACCCCCAGGCAGTGTCTGTGTCATAGTCCCCCAAGCAACTATAAACTCTCAAGAGAATTTTTTTTTTTAAACCTGCCAGGAGTTCTTTTCATCTGTCCTGGTTCCAACCAGTTTTGTGGGCTAGCTAGAGAGAGGAGGCAAAAGCTAATAGCCCTGGCATTGTCCCTTAACTTCCAAATGTGTATCATTCTTTCCCTTCCTGTCTGTTTTTTCAAACAATCTTCTGTTTAGTTAAATCTATTCATACAGAAAACAAACCAGTAACCAAGTCAACATACAGTACTCAAATTATTTCAGAGCAGCTCCAAATTAGTCATGTAAACTAAATGCCTTCCTTCTCACACCCACCT